TATATATATATATATATATATATATATATATATCATAATATAAATTATATAAATTACAGCATATAATTCATAATATAAGCAGTTATTTGAAATTATTAATATAAAACCAAACTCACTGTGAGTGGAAGCAGTAAAACAACTATACTACCAAGAAGAATAAATACTTTAAATTTTTATTACCACTGTTTTTGCTTCTTTTTTCACAACAGAGTCATGGGAATGTGGTATTTTTACATTATGGTAATGAGAAATGAGGTGTGGGGTACATTTAAAGCAGTAGCTAATTGTGGAATAGGGTGGAGGTCTGTCTTTCTGTCTCTCTCGACTTCTCCTCAAAGCTGCCTGCCGCAGCCACATGATGTATACTAAGCTTCTTGGTGGCCAAACCCACTGTGTCTAAAAATAAATGCGATATCCATCCCGGACAGAGTCAGTGAGTGTCTATGTGATAGAGAGAGAGAGAGATGAGGAGAGACACAGAGACACAGCTCCTCTGTAGAGAAAATATACATTCTAACCCAAAGCAAACCACCAAAGCCAATATAGAGCAATACCCTAAGATTAAATGACATTATATGTTGCATGAAGTCGCACTAAAAAAGATTTATACATACAAATCATACACTCATGCATTTAAATATGTCATAATCCATCCTCAACACTCTTTTAACTCTGATGCATATGAGAAAATGTTCCCAATAAGAGTCTTTAGATTAGAGATACTGTAATCTCTGCACTGGTTTCAGGTTATATTTATTTACCCACTGCCCTCATCTCAGACTGTGGTGATGAGCTGTTGCACAACCAACACGTGTGCATGTGTGTGATTTCTTGGACTTGGATTATTTCTGAACTGTGTACAAACACAGCTCAGTGTTTCCTGCTGCAAGATTATCAAGCCTCTCTGCTGTAGATAAAGAGATCACCAGTGAATTTGCCTGTGAATCCCATTGACTATTTATGGAAACTAACAAAAAGAACTTTCACAATAAATAATAAACTGTGTGGAATTTTATTTGGAATGGAAGTTCCATTTATCTCATTATTTTGTCAAAACAGTGAGTTGTAAGACCGAAACACTCTTTTAAACAGTTCAGACCATTTCATAATACAAATCTGACATTATTTGTTTGTCAACATGGGAACAGTATATAGAATTCAAACCTGGCTGTGATCTTTTATTGTCAGTTGGTATGTGTTTTATTAGTGGGGATACATTGGGGGGTCCCAAATAAAGTTTTTGGACATTTATTTGGTCTTTTCTTTAAATGAAAGATAACACCTTTCAAGCAAAACATATCACAAATAGATGGTAATAGATATACTGTTCAAAAGATGAAGAAAGGTATTTGGAAACTTTGTGGCCATCAAATGTTATTACCAAGACACTGTGTACTTGAAAAATACACACACACACGTATATTTAATAATAGATCATATATTCATATATTATTTAAAATAATAAAATAATTTAAAAAAAAAAGTATTTGAGCACTTTCTGTAATGTGATGAACTACACCTGTGAATTTATCTGCTATGACACTTGTGTGAACTTGAGGGGAAACTAGTTTGATAAAAACATAAATTCGACATAAATTGTTTGCAGATACTATTTGGTCAAAATAAAAATCATTTTAAATATTTTTTGAAAATTATCAGTGAATATGCATGAAGCAAGCAAACGTATATAGCGAGTCCACTATAGAAATTCAGGTAAAATATTTGTGTTCCCTGCTCATTAAAACTATAACTTGGCACTGAAAATGCTGTATTGCTGTCTAGGTCTAACCCAAATATAACATTTGTGTTTCCTTGTCTGAGGCAAGGAGTGTAACACACGGTCATATGAGGTGGGGTACATCTAATCAGGAAACCCAGAGGCTGTGGTCCGGGGGGAAGGGGCTTTTTTGGGGTAATTATGCTGCCCTCACAGCGGCAGATGGTTTGGGAGGGGGACTGGGAAAAAGGTTGATGTTAGTAACAAAGCCAAAACTTGTCTGATGCAGGAAATTAGCTACACGACAAACGAAAGACTGTTTCCTTTGCTCTCTCTCTCTTTCACTGTCTAGATTCCCCTCAAAATAGTAAAAAGCTGAACTGATACACATATGAACGATGGAGGATCAAGAGGATGAGCGTATTTGATTAAATAGCACCTCACAATGAGATTAAAGGGGGAGGCTCGTGTGTCTGATGCAGATTTGCAGAAGGGGAATGTTTTTCAGGACGTAATTGGCCTCTGCACTTCCTGGTTCAAACTGGGCCATTAATCTGAGCCCGGCCAGGTTTAAACCCATTAGACCAGCAGAAGGTCGGCACCATCTGCACTCAGCTCATAACAGAATAAGGCCAATGAAGAGAAGTGAGGGGGTGCCTGAATGAACCCTGGCCAATCTGTGTGTGCGTATACATGCATGATGAAAGCGCTCAGAGCAATAGATTCAGACCCTCCTCCTGGCAAACAGCCACACACGCACTGTCCGAAACAAACGGCTGAAGCGTGCTGAATGGAAATTAACATTTTAGGCTTTGGGTAACACACCTGCCCTTTTAAAATGTTGGAGCAGCTGGGTTACCGCTGTGCTGCTTATCCAAATGCTAAACTGATATCAACAACAGGCCACCTGCAGTGCAGACGTTATCCATGCACTTTTTAATCTGCCGTGGCAACAAGGTGCCATGCGTTGAGAAAGGCTCTATAAATTAAGACGCTGACAGGTGCATC